TGTGCTCTGTTAAGATGCGATCAGCACATGTACAATATGCATGCGCCTACAACATAATGTACACAGGTTGCCAAATTTTACTGCATTTGTAATTGTAGGCTAGCCAGCACACCATCTCTGCATGGCGCTATAACACTTCAAGACATGTATGTACAGTAACTTCAGATTTCAATGAATCAACCCCAACCCAATGAAACTGTACGATGGGATTTTTTGGCCATTGGGGGTTGTAAATTTAATTTTTAGTAGCACTGTATACAATGGTCAGTGAAGACTCAGCCCAATAATATCAAATTAAAATCCCAACATCAAATTAGCATACAGGTACCGGCAGCAAGGTAATCCCCTACGTAACATGCCATTCACATGTGCCTGTGATCAACTGATTATAATTGAACCCGAGTGTCCTTTAATTACTCACCTTTTTCAAAGACATATATTATAAAGAACTACATGAAGAAATGTTTAACACATAATTTCCATAGCAAAGTTAGCATAATAAGGAGTGCCAATTCATCTCTAAAAAGACACAGTGATAATGCACCTCTTGTACACATGATCTGCAAAGTTGGCAAAATAATAACCACCACATTTATTTATAACCCAACAAATGCTAGTCTTCCCTGATTCTACGAAAACACCTTTGAAACTCAATGACCAAAACCTCAATAATAACCCGACATTGGTTTGTGGGTTTTTAGAAACCAGCCCTACCTTGTCATTGTGTGACCCTTCAATATTCAATCCTGTCAATGCACTGTTAGACAGTACAGGTTACCACTTTCCCAAAGAATAACTATTTAAGATTCCAGTCCAATGCACACACTGAGTGCAGTGACCCGATAATATTAATAATTACACCATGACGCATTGTATAGACCTACCTTCGCTGTCCTAATCCTAACCATAATTCAGTATCCTTCATTTCTGAACTTGACCCCTGTCTACAATGTACACACACACATGCAGTTACAACAACATGCAGTTGTACATGTACATGTAATGTTCTGCAGTTATCGTGCTGTACATGTACCGGTACCTATATTTATGATCCCAACGCAAAACCTTCACCCCTAAACATGTTACCACTTACATGTAAGTTCTATTAGGCCAAAAAAAAAAATATTCGGTCTCTGGTCAGACCAAAGTTCTGGAATTGACGCGGCCACGCGGCTTTTTTTTTTTCTTCAAGCTTGGATTGTACAGACAAGGTGGGTACTATTTTGCTTTTTTTTGTGTCCTCATGTACATTGGTGTCCTCCATAATTTGCCTTGGTGCTTTCGATCATTTGCCTTGGTGCAATTTCCCATTCCTTGGTGCTCTTTGGTAAAAAAATTGAGGAGGTGCGGAAATAGAGGGCGCTGTTGGAGCTACCGCGGAACATTTTGGAGAAAAAAAAAGATCGACGCGCATGATTAAAATCGACTCGCCACTGACCAGAGACCGACTTATTTTTTGTTTTGGCCTTACCAAGAACACAACACTTTTCATCCTCATTGCTCTTAACCCCTCTGCCCCCCCCCCCCCCCTTGTATTTTAAAGGCAGAAAAAAACAAAATGCAATTAGATCTAAATACCGGTACCTGAAATACTTGTACATTGTACCGTAGGTACCAGCAGCGATTGATTTCAATGATAAAAAAAAATACACAACAAGCAATCCTCATCTTTCACTTGCATCAAGTAAACTATGTTGGCTTACATGTAAAAGATCAATCAGACAATTAATGACCATTTTGACTTTTCACAAAAACAAAACAAGCAATCCTCATCTTTCTCTTGCATCAAGTAAACAATGTTGGCTTACATGTAAAAGATCAATCAGACAATTATTTTAATGACCATTTTGACTTTTCACAAAATACAAAACAGAAAAGCTATCTCCTCTCCAATCCACACCTCCCATCTCAGTAATTGAAAGTGGGATCAATTGATTTTTTACCAAATTTGCTTCTACCAAAGAAGTACAATATAATTTAAACTTGACAGCTTTGTGCAGCTAAAGGCAAAAGGTGGTCAAGAAACAAATGTTTGTATTTTGTTTGTGTGGAGTAACTGTGGAGGTATATTAAGGAACTCCTCAGTGGAACCTTTTTTTTACCCCCAACCCCCTAACAGTACTAAACAATTCCCCAGGACTACCCTGCTCAATCCAACACCTAAGTTCGACGGTGACTCATATGAGTTTCCTGTTCTATCCAACACAGTCCAACACAATCCAACTTGCCAAGTTGTTGGGTACCTGAAAATATCAAATGAATGTCATGCTCAATCCTACAGAATCCAACTGTGACTTATTTTTTTCTGTTTATTGCTGGATCCAACAGAATCCAACTATTTACCAGTTACCAACAGAATCTAACTCTGAATGTTTCCAGTTGCCTGCTGAATCCAACAGATTTCAACAGGAATGTATTTTACAAGGTGTTTTACTGCTCAATTCCAACAGGATTAAATTGATGGATCCTGCACTATTGGATATTTGGATTGGTCAAGTGACTGTCATACTACAGGTAGTCATAGTCATAGTCCATAACTTACATGCACACATATATATGTAATACATGTACTCCCTGTTTTCATGTTTTGCTAGTTTACAAGACTTTCCATGGCCATGGCCATAGGTAGAAAACAGTGATTAATTTGAAGGCAAATTTGTCCACAGGCAACAATCCTCACGATAGCAACCTTACAATGTCTATACTGTACCGGTTGGTACATTGTATACATGTGAGACACCATCCAAATGCCATTTTTTCCACTGTAACAATTGATAATGGCTTGTCATTAAAAAATGCAATTAGCTTTTTTGGGACAGAGAAAACTTATTACGCCAGGTGGCATGCCATTACATACCACAACTTCTTCAGAGACCATTAACAATGAAAGTGCTCAACTGACAATTTTCTCAGGCACTTCATTTTCAGTGTGCATGAATTATGATGAAACTGTTCAAAACTTATATTGTCAATCAGATGACAACACTCATCAAATGGTTAATGAAATACACAGTATTTCCGTACACTGACACCGAGTTTTGCAGCTTACTTATTCATTTATTTAATTCTTATTTTAACTGGATAGCGCATTCAGCGGAATCCACTGGTCTCCCATGGATCTGAGGGTCCCAGTAAAGAGAAGACAATGTCAAGTGAATTACAGTTTTAGATGTGGGAGGAAAGCTCCAGAAGAATATTCTGAGGAAAACCCACGGAATTAATTAGGGACTGAAAACACAATCCACATATTAGCCCACGCAGGAATAGAACCCGGGTCAACACAGTGGAAGGTGAGGAAAGTACCGCTACGCCAACCTGACTAGCCTGTATTAGTAACAAATAGGCCTATTATGAAGATATTGTGTAACACATGGATTTACCTCAAGGCCTAGATCAGCAGCCTAGATGAACATGTCAACAAAATACATCTGATAGAAAGACGACAGAACCGGTAGTCCAGTATCTTACAAAGTTTGAAAATTTGGAAAGAATGTACAGTAGTATCCAGACACCAATTCATTGTTTGTGTACAAAGAAAGTACATTTTCAAAGCATTTTCTAACAAAATTGAAAATGTTTCTCAGTCCAAGATTCATGTCTTTTTAACAGTTTTCCAATGACTGACCTAAAGTAACTGAGATAATGTATGATGAAAAAAGTGGCGTCAGGATGCACCATTCTTTCTGAATTTTTTTCAGCTGCAAACTGTCGGGCCATTATATACTAGCGTTTGTACAAAATGTAGGAACATCCACACGGTGTTGGGTATGTTCGATTTGATGGCAAGAAAAAAGTTGATTTAATACTGATTAAATCTAGAAATCTTTGCTTGTAATCTTATACTTGATGACATCAACTTGAGTTGTGACGTCATTACCACTATACCAGAAAGCTCGAGAGCTATGTTAACTACCCGGTAAAGCTATTTGAAGAAACATCTGGAATATAGCTCTCGCGATTGATTTTTCAGCAATTTTGAAGGTTTAGGTCTTTTCATTGTAACTTCCCGCCTGATACTGTGAACTTCGCCACACACATCAACTAAAAATTAATTTTTCACATTTTCAACCTGCTGCTAGGCCGCTCTAAGTTCCAACATTTTATGACGTCACCGGTACTTTTTTTGTAAAGCACATCCTTTGAAAGCAAAACAACACCCAGCCATTTTCCAAATCCTGGCTTTTAGCTGCGTCTCTGGCCGACTCCATTCATGCAGGTTGGCAATGCCAAGGGGCTGGACCCGGATACGGAGCTGAAACTGGGGTTTGGAAAACAGTCGGGCTCCATTTTGTACACAACACAGCTGCAGCTGAAAAGACAAATGAACGGTTGTGCACACCGAAGGAGTTGCACTCAAAATACCCTTTTTTGGGTTCAGCTTGCGCTTGATCATTGTGTCATTTTGAGAGGAACTTCTGCTGCAAAGGATACATATTGTGTCGTTATCTGATTAACTACAAATCAATGTAGGCATGGTCATGGTAGGCCTACATGATAGATGTAGGTGAGTTTTTGCTTGGAATTTGAACAAAAATTCTAAATATTGGCAAAAAAACGCGTAAACTCCCTTCTATTTTCTAAGTCTGGTGATTCCCTTTGATGTTACTGTCGCCAAATCATGTCCGCATGTTAAATAGGTGATAAGTTGGGTCAATGACAAAGTTACTTGGTTAGTCTTGGACTAATCTGCGAGGAGAATCATGATCATGAGACTGATTGAGAATACACACAGGCATGACAGGCATTTTTACATTTTTGAGACCGGAGTCTGAAACTAACTAGAGTACGACATGAATTTTTGGATTTGCCCTTATAGCTAACACCATCACCTGTGGAATGTAAACACAACAATGCACAAGGTATTAAAGCATGCAATAAACTTGAACAATTTGATGCACCATCTCGTCAAATATGGCGCCTGTTTGTACTGTGGACTAGCCTACATATTTTTGCGTTGGATTCAAGTTTGTAGCAGTAGCACGTCCTTTGCCCATACTTACGTGAAATTTTAAAGCCCCCAAACGCAGGATTGTTGCCTTTGGCGTCTGCAAACGACGTTGTTCTTGGTCTTGCACTCATACTCCAAACTCGCTAATTAAGATTGTCTATGTTATGATCAAAAATAACGAAAAATCCAACCGTTACATGGTCGACAGCGACCACATTTCACAGGGTTAAAACTCGATAAAAAATCTCGCCAGTCAAAGAGTAAAAGATAGGACTAGTTCAAGAAGCTTTCTTTCCTTCTTTCAGCGTTATATTACTCCCTCCGTGAGAAACTATATACATGAAGAAATTTCCCTCGTCACAAAAAGGATTTTCCAATCAAACTTTAAGTCATCTCGAAGGGAATTCCGAAGGTTTTTCGTACGTACAGAGTCCTGTTTGGCAAATCCCTTTTTCTCGTTGCCAATAATAGTGACAGCGTACAATACGGTCGTGATCGATCCGCTCGGCAATTTCCGTAGACAATGCCGAACACGCGTTTGACCAATCAGATTTCAGGATTGGTTTCTACGGAAAAGAACGAAGAATAGTCGGAGGAGTTCGGATTTTATTTGCGCACATGAATTGATGACGTCATACATTTGCGAGTTAGTTTTGTGATGAATCATGGGTAATTTGGGACACTCCCGGGTCCGTGCACGTATCTCATGTGGCGCCAAAGCAAATGTTCAAGTTCACATCGCTTCATTTTCCACCAACTTGACCAAGTAAAGGTTTGAATTATCAAATCAGTTGTTTAGTGATGTTACACACGTTTATTTTGCTTGACGTGCGTTTGGTATTGTATTCCTTTTGACAAACTCTTTCGATGTCGATCGTGTATTAAATTAGCCTTGGTCAAGGCGTTCGTCGTATTCGTCCGTACACGGTATGAAATGATCGGCGCGGCTCAACCTCGCGCAGTGCAAGTGCATTACAAAAACTGCGCGAACAGCGACCTCATGCGGCCACTATTTTATGCAAATCATTTGGATCCAGACAAACGCCTTGGTCTAATCATGGAGCTATAATAAACACATGTTTTTCTTTATTTTGCGCAAGATTTCCAGCGCACGACCTCATGACATGTGCGAATAAAGCCCCATAAATGTTAGCCCCACTAGTGTGGCCGTCGGTATGCTGCGCTGAACCCAAGGCCACACATCGTGGTCTGCGCACTACTGAGGACGTTTTCATAATTTCAACAGCGAATTTCTTACATATGGTTGTATTCTACGATGTCCCAACTTTCACTTCTGGGATGCTTGGGTGTAATGATGTTCAATTTTCCAAGATATTCTTGAATCTTTCTGGAGCCCATATGCACTCGTGAAACGTCTGGTGATGGCGGCCATTTTGAATGTGACAAGAGATGACCTCAAGCTGTGACGTCGCGTTTATGCAAATTGCTTGTCGAGCGAGGGCGCGAGTTGCAAATGCGACGGCTGTTTCCTGTACCATGCATTTATCGTCTGGGGGCCACGTGCACTGATCTCTATTCAGGATCTACGGCACAGGAAACAGCCGTCGCATTTGCAACTCGCGCCCTCGCTCGACAAGCAATTTGCATAAACGCGACGTCACAGCTTGAGGTCATCTCTTGTCACATTCAAAATGGCCGCCATCACCAGACGTTTCACGAGTGCATATGGGCTCCAGAAAGATTCAAGAATATCTTGGAAAATTGAACATCATTACACCCAAGCATCCCAGAAGTGAAAGTTGGGACATCGTAGAATACAACCATATGTAAGAAATTCGCTGTTGAAATTATGAAAACGTCCTCAGTAGTGCGCAGACCACGGTGTGTGGCCTTGGGTTCAGCGCAGCATACCGACGGCCACACTAGTGGGGCTACATAAATGTGGCCAATTTACTGGACTAGGCCTAGGCCTACCTCCGTAAATCAAGGTTACCGTAAATCAAGGCCACACTTGAAACATATAAAATTAAAATTAAAATAATGCAGAACTTTGTCAACTTTGGATTTTAGACTTATGTGTAGTTTATTTTCCATTCACGCTTAAGAAGCATAGTCAAATGATAGTCAAAACAGCAGCGGGCTAGTCAAACTATTCCTGAACTGAAGTAGCCCGGCTGGCGAGTCAAAAAAAAAGTGGGATACGGCAAAGATGAAGGAACAGGAAGAAATAAATCAGGAAATTCAGAAAGCAAACCTATATCAATTTGTGTCTTATTATATTAACTGTTTTAAAGGGTTAAATTATTATCTGATTTATTAAAAACACTGACAAAATTGCCTCAGACTAGTCACTAGGCCTACATGTACAATGTAGATGAGAAATCAGTTGAAACTTGGTAAAAACGAATTTTACTTACGACCTTTTTTTGTTCTAAGGTCGCCTTGTTGGATCTTGTCTGTTTTCAAATCGCTTACTTGTGTGAGAACGATAATTGTATTGATGCGAAGATTTACCTACATGTACGTGTACATGTACATCCGATGGATTCCAGATTTATTCAGGCTAGTTTGGATCACGTTTTAATACAGTTCTTATCAACGGTCATTTTAGATTTGCTGTAAACGAAAAAATAAGTTTGTGTATTTAAAAAATCCTTATTTTTAGTTTGAGACTCTCAGCATGCTCAGTGAGCAGTGCTTTCTCAGACATTCTAAGTCATGGTCATGATGTCACAGGCCATGATTTGAGCAGATGAGAATGACAGTTTTAGATTTGCGTCCGAACATTTTCCAGATCATGCAGATAACAGGAGGTTTTTTTTCGTTATTCACTATTTTAGTGAAAAATCAATCTCTTGACCATCTCTAAAGTCGTGGCAGTGGTGAATGCCCGCCGTGCGCCGCACCACGATTCTAGAACATTACAGCGGGTCCGACACAACAACGGACCACTCGGATCCCATTGTCATTGAATTGTTGAAAAATCTGACACGGATCGCGACACCCATCCAGTTCATCGTAAACAAAAATAAACATGCTAAACATGCAACGAACACAAACTGTTCCAATGTGATTAATCCAACACTAGTTTTCAACTAGTAAAATATTAAATGAAAATATCGATTGGAAATACTCAACTCGATCATAAAAAAAATTGAGAACAGTGCGTGCAGAAATCCATGTGGAACTTGAGATGAAAGTTTCCATTTGTACTAGCCGCTGCGCTTGGTAAATGCTGAATGGAATGGGGGCCGGGAAACCCAAGGAAAAAACAAACGATGCCGCACACGCTGCTGGCACACAACATATTTAAACGCGTGATGTGTACTGTGCTTTGCAGACGGGATTGAAGATCGTGAAGTTTGGCCTCAGTCTCTAGCGTGGGGTCAGACATGCACACCATACACCATAGTTATGGTGTGGAAGTATGCCTTAAATGTCTTTCCAATGATACCAAAATTGTTGATAATTTCTTCAAAAACATGAAATCCACCGCACTCCCTGCCAACAATTCTACCTGAAAATTCAATCAAATGTCTTTATGGTGCCAGTTGATCATCTGGTTCCCTGACCTGACAATATTCCACATCAGGATCTTTGTCTCTTGGAACCAGACTATCAACCAATATAGACAACCAAATAGTTTTTGGACTCTGTTTCTCTTTTAAATAGGTTTTATTATTTAAAAAAATTCCTACAAAGCCATGGATTACTAAAATTTATTGAAATACAAAGTAGGATTTTGAATAAAAGCATACATTTAAGTAAAAAAAATTGCACAGTGTTGATTCAATCCAGAGAACTGTGGCATGGTAGTTTAACGTTTGACCAAGGTGCTTTGGTTTGAAGGGCAGTTTATACGTGATTTAGATTCACAGCATTTGGTGTTTTTGCAATGCTGTGACGATAGCAGTTGCAAATCGCATTACGGCTTCCGTAACGATAGCCACAACAGAAATCAACAGTGTCAATGTTACTGTTGGTCCATTGTTCCCTGGGGAGTGCCCATTACATCTTTACATTTAACACTTGCCTGTGCCTTCATCTTTCTCACACAGATCACAACGAACTGCTCATCATGAAACACAAAACAAAGACAAAGAATCTTGAAGATTCGACCCAGGATGCTAGTTGTCGTGCCGTCAGTCACAAAAGAGATCGACCCCAGCCCACAGAAGGAGTGAGGCGTTCAACACGGAAACGTTCAGCACCCAAGACTTTTGTTGTAACATCCAAGAAGTCTAAAGCACTGTATTGGGAAGCCGCAGAGAAGGAGAAACTATTGAAAGTTCTGCAAGAGTAAGAACCAACATATTTGTATTTTATTGAATAGAATGTCATGCAAAATTATTATCAGGTTTTTGACACTGAGCCAAACTGTTAACAAACTGTACACTTTTGGCATATCATTTTTAATAAAAACATATCCTTTATTACAGAACGTGCCAAAGTAATTTCCTGACACCTGAGGGCACTGTTGCTGTGCAACAGTGCCCTCAGGTGTCAGGAAATTACATGCACATTGTATGCTGTAAAACGGTTAATATAACCAAACTGTATATAAACTAATCAAAATTTCATACCTGAGGCATGAAATTTTGCATAATAATAGCACAGCTTTTATGGCGCTTTTTGCAGCTTTGCTTCTTTGTCTAAATGCTGGCTATAAGCCATGATGGCCTTGGAGAAAGACCAACCTCACCCTACTAAGCCAACCCATAAGTGTCTCATTCTTAAACATGGAAATGTTTTATAAAATTATATTCATTTTTTCCCATTATCCAATCAAAGATTAAACACTCAGCAACTTGGTACAGCACTTTACTACAGCAAAAATCGCTACCCAATCAAGCTGATGTCTAAGAGAATTGGTAGCAAGTCTATGGATGCTGTCAAGAAATACTTGACCCTTCTGGAGCGCAGAGGAGCAGGTAATGGGCTCAAAGATCAAGTCAAATCCACCTATCAGTACATTTCTTTAGAGATACTATATGTATTTGTATTTATGTGCATTCAATTATTGTTGATTTTTTGTATGAATTTTGACCTATGAGTATTTTAGTTCAAACACAAAACATCTTTGCTTTTTATTTGAGTACTCTTGGTGTTACTCATTTAATGTTAAGTTTTGTATGTTCTATCCTTTGATCATACTCAATTTGACAGGATACTATACAGTGTAGTATACATGTACAGTAAGAGTATCACACTTCAACTCAGTATGCTTCTTTGATTGATTCCATTTTGTGTTTAATCCAGGCATGGCATTGAGTCAAATGAAGCATCAAGCACCTCTACAGGTACGATTTTACAGTTTCTCTTTTCTCAATCACCACTGAAATGTTCCATACTTTGACCTATGACCTATTACATTCCTTTGTATGGGATCTGTAATAGCTGGCATCAGGCTAGGCTGTCTGATGAGAACCCGTGCAACCCAAGGAATTCACTCCTGGTACTTTTCTTTTCAATATACCTGGATATGTCGTCCTGTTTCTTTAGGACATGACAGTCAAATAGTCTAGAACCTAATACCACTGGACCCCAATTCCAGTATTCTACCATCAAAACTACTGTATTTTGTTCACATTCCAAAAGTCTGAGATAAGAACCCAGGCCCATTGATTTACAATTCTACAATGTTTACATGTTCCACCAAATTTGACACTGTGTTTTGTCCTTTTTTATGATTTGGCGATCAAAAAGTCTTGGTTAAGAATTTATGACCACGTGACTCAATTCCTTTGTTCTACCATGCAGCTTATCTGTGTATTTGGTTTGGTTGCATTTTAGAGTTGGCGTCAGATGGCAGATAAGTTGACTGCTCTGACCAGCGACAACTGCTCCCGCCAGTTGATCCGGGTAAGCAACTTTCTCTCAGGCCAATTTCACGGAGCTGCTTGACATTGAATTTTGCTTAACACAGAAAATATTTGTCCATCAAAAAAAGGGTCACCAGCTAAAAACTTGTGTGATGTCTATAACATTTGACTGGTTCCCAGCTGGGCCCAATTTTTTCGCTCTGCTAACCACAGAATTCTGCACTTACGATCATCATTCCGTTTTAACAGCTCTAGCAGAAAAAATAATCATGCTATTCCTGTATTACAGAATCATTAGGTACAGGATATGCATATAAGCCAATATTACTCGCTAACATGATACAAATGTATATGCTGGCCGTAAGCACAAAATGTTCTTCTACAGTTGGCAGAGCCATGACATTGGGTTGAGATATTACTAAGCAATGTTTTCTGTTAAGCAGCTGTTTAAAAGTTTGCCTGGGCTGATTGATACACACACCTGATGACACCGTAGTCATGAAAGCTTAGAGATACCAGGGCTATGATTATCAGCATTTTAAAGAGATTGATGCTTTCATAACTTCGGTTCAAGTTGGTTGAAACTATTGTGATATTTTGTAACTATAATGATCTCTTCTGAATTGTGTTTATGGATTTCTCAACCTTCGAATGTGCTGCTGTACAAATTGTCCTCAAGGATTACTACTGGTTTCCCTGAGGTTTTCCCCAAATCTTCCCCAGATTTACCCAAGTTTTCCCCAGGATTTTCCCTGGTTTTTCCCTGGGTTTCCCTATTAAAATCAAGCTGGGACCACTACTGGTATATACATTGATGTACAGTAAACTCTGGCCAAGTTGACATCGTATAATCATAATATCGACTAAATCGGCCGTCTAACGAAAGTCCCGATCATCTCTTATGCAGTTCCATTTAAATTTTCATTTCTATGTCGGCCTTTGTAAGTCGCTCGCCCTTTCACCTAAGTCAGCATGTTACTTTCGGTCCCATTTCCTCAAAACCACAAAAATTCCTCCGTATAAGTCGGCATCCAAAAAAAAATACACCACCGCCACATGCGCGATCAAAAAGGGGTTTCCCCGATACTGTGAGCACATCAATACCAGTACCCCCTCTAGTCCTGCACGCATGCGCTCTGTCCATTTTGGGGCTTCCCGTATTGAATTAACCGCATTCTGAGTACATCAATACCAGTACCCCCTCTAGGCTCTAGTCCTGCACGCATGCGCTCTGTACACTTTGGGGTCCCCTTATTGAATGAACTTTACCAGTACTGGTATACCACACACGTGCGCATTAATTCCTAACTGTACAAGTGCATATGTGTACACATGTATGCAAGCGTTCTGCACAGCAACTGTTAATGCTGGCAGGCCATCCTTGCTTCGTACAGGAATGGCTTTCTGTGATCAATACCCCAGCTATGTGATGATAAACATTGAGGATAAATTTGCTGGAAACAACCATGGATGTAGAAATAAACCAGGGTAATTTGAAGCCTGTGATACCATGGAGATTGTTTGCAGTATTGATCTAGATACAGATGTGCAGAGGCCATTCAATCTATTTTGTACTCCATGATTCAATTTACAATGTACATGTATGTAAGTCAGCAAAATGACGACTTACAGCAGATGTCGGCATTCGTGTACGTCGTCACAAATTCTCGGGTCCAGAGAGTGCTGACTAAGCCGGAGTTTAATTACTCTGTGTAATCTTTGCTTACGCTCATGAAGCCTAACATCGGGCACAGACAGAAAGATGCCTGCCGGAAAACCTGTTTTTCCCATCAAAATGTTGTATTCAAATGAAGCAACTAGTAATGAACTACCTAGGGTTTTCATTAAGGGGTTGCTGTTTCAACTAACTGCCTGCCCGTTTGGACAATAGCGCCCTCTAGGTCCATGTGCTAGTCCAATAACCAAGTTTTCTGTATCCTTGTGACAGTGATAGCATATTTTGTTTTCACTTACAGGTCTGTAGCATCTTGGCTCTTGAAAGCAAAGATGAGGACGAATCAGCAGTAGAAGAACATGGCGGTGATGAAACACAAACCATTCCAACCTTATCACTCACACCAGCTACTACAACATCTGCAGCCAGCAACTCAACAGGTAGCAATCACACCAATGATGTACATGTATCTAAGGAGATTGCATCACCTGATGCCTCTGTATCAGCCAGAGAGATTGCCATGACAACATCAAATGTAGAAACTGTGTCAGGGTCAGGAATGTCTACAGCAGCATCCAATGTGGCAACTGCTGCAGCAGAAGCAAAAGATAGTTCAGCAACAGACAGCGTTTCATCAACAGCAACAAGCCAAAACATTTCATCAACATCACCAACAAGAGACATCAGTTCAGTAACAACAGCAACAACAGCAGCAACAACAGACAGTACTTCAACATCGGCAACAGCAACATCAACTGCAGCAGCAAGAGACAGCAGTTCAACAACAACAGCAACAAGAGACGGTATCTCAACAGCAACAAGAGGCAATTCAACAACGGCAATAAGAGACCATTTTTCAGCAAGTGCATCAAAGCCAAACGAGAGTATTGAGCTAGAACTCAAACCAGACTATCCGTCCATCTACAAGTACTTTGCCAATCTCATGCAAGGCGAACAAAAAGAACTTGGACCACTCGGTAAGGTTTTTAGGGATTTTCTTTTTACATTCATGTATTGCTTGCTCTCAAAAGTTTGCAAAATGTAGCTGGTTGAGCGAGCTTATTTTGTGTTTGATCAAGTTTACTAGCTGTGATAAAGTACAAGATAAAACAGATGAATGTGGTAGCGCCCTCATGTGACCATTTACCAAATAGCTGGTTGGCTGCAGTTAACCAGTCACAGTGGCTGGATTGTTGCCATTAGTCCAACACAGGCTGACATCATTCCTCATTCAACGTTCTATTTTGCCACAGTTTTGTGATCGAGTCTATAAAAGTCTTGTCACAACTAAATCATCAGTCAATTCACAATGCAAACACAAATTACAGTAAATGAACAAAACAAAGAAATGCCATTGTCACAGATCATTTGAATATTAGCTTTCGACTTGACTGGGGACTGGCCAACTTATTGTACATTGGATGACTTGTGATGGACTAAACTCTACAACTCTGGCAAGCTGGCTGACTGGTCAGCATGATACTCTTCATGGAAATAGTGGGGTCCATAACAAACCCCTGCAAGTCCATCACAAGTCCTCCAGTCCCACTTTAAATCACAAGCTATTTAAATGAGCTTTGATGAAGGCATATCATTGTTATTGTTCATCCATTGTTCTTATGAGACTGGACTTGTGAATGGACTTGACTACATCCCTGCAACTCGTCCCTTGTTGTTCCAGCAGACTCTCTGGTTGGTGTTTTTACCCTTGATGTGGTTCACTCTTAATGTGTTAACATACATATACTGTACTGTGTTTCTACATTGACTTACAGAGTCCCTGGTTGTTCTAGACTGCCTCACATCTGTCGAGAAACACCTAGTAGCAAGAGACAACACGAAACAGAAGAAGTTTGCACAGAAACGCTTCTTAGACATTCTAGAAAACTTGTATCTGAGTATCGATGGCGAGACCGCCAGAACAGCTAAAGGAGGAACAATGAATGAGGATACCGATGCTGGGAATGTGTTGACAATGGCAGACCTGTTGGGCATCAACAACCAATCACAGTCATGGAAATGTCAAGCTGACCAATCAAAAGCCACATTACCAGAAAACAGCCAATCAGCAAGCAATTACTCTGTCAGCCAGTCAACATCAACCATGTTGCAGGGCCAGTCATCCACAGCCAATAAGAGAAGCAGCAGAGAAATACCCACCCGTCTAGGTAGTCTCAATCCATTTGGTGTACCAGTTAAGCTACTGGAAATTAGACAAGACAGATGAGGGCAGCAGACAGGTTATCCAAGGGTGCACTCAAGCATGTGTTATGGGAGATCCCATAATCTTATGAGTTCACCTGTGTTCCAAGGATAGTTGTAGCTGATGGTCAGGAGTGTAGCATCCACCCGAGAAAGAATGTACTCATAAAGTGTAACCAAAGAAACCACATTCGCGAAGGTGGTTTAAATGCACTCAATGGACCTTATTCACAAGGAAGCCGTTTTTGGTCATGTTCCCTGAATGTATTTTATAAATTGCGAACTGTTGAATGGAATGGTGCCAGACTATTTATGCATTCTAGCCTCACTTTCAATTTTGTTTTTTTTTAATTTGGATTACAACATTAAGGTATGAGCACACTGGTATTAATTTGTAATTAACTTTGTCATTGCTTTCATTTCTCTTCGCAATTTCCAAATATGAAGATTTTACCTCGCTTTCAATTTAATATGGCCGACTCGTGAAAAATGGTCGACAGCGCATGTGTGCGTGTACCCTGTGTGCAAGAAAAAGTTCCATCTCAAAATAAGTTTCTCATTTGTTCGCGGGAAAAGTCTATTGTGGATGCAGCTACTAAGTCTGAAAAAAAAAACATGTCTTTTGATCTTTAATTACTCTGTTTATCAATGGAAATAAACCAAAATTTCAGATCAAAATTTCAGATCATTTCAGAAAGTTTCACTAGCTTTATGCAAGAGGGTGAGATTTAAATACATGTACAATAAAAATTAATACTTTCAGAATGTCGATACCGCTAGAAACAGTGGCGGAAGGCGCTTGCTGTGGCCGAAAGCTTCTGAAGGAATGCAGGATCACCCCTGATGTTATTGCACACCTGATTGGGTGTTGCGCTAAATGATCAACGAGGTGTGCAATGATATCGGGGGTGATCCTGCATTCCTTTAAAAGCTTTGGGCTGCAGCACGCACCCTCCATCACCTCCAGCCCTCTATCAACATTGGAGGACGCCATGTCAAAAGTGGCAGATTCTGAAAATAGTTTTTATTTTGTATGGCGTTTAAATCTAACCCTCTTGCACAAAGCTGATGAAACTCGTACCATACAATTTGTCATGCCTTGTTTACATGATCTGAAAATTTGGTTTAATTCCATGTGTAAACAACAGAGTTATTTAGGATAAAAAAAAGTAGGACATTTTCTTTGACATGTAGTACAAAATGTACATGTATAACAATCACATGTGCAGTTATAGTGATATGAGTACATATGTCAATAAAATGACATGAAAAAAGAACATTTATAATTGAAAAAGTTTGTTTATTTACCTTTATCTTATCGTTTGTGTTACATGATGTGAGTGGTTGTTCCTTGTGCGATTCTATTGTACATATGCCCACTAGGAATCTGACTTCTAATTCCATCATTGTAGCAGTAATCACCCGAACAAGCTTGCACAGTATTTGCAACCAGACAGTTACTGGTTAATAAACTCCCAGGCAAGGGCCGAATTTCTTACACTGTGCCCAATATTTTTGTTTCCATTTGAAGTTGTAAGCACCTACATTCTTTCTCCAGTTACTTCCAAACAACAAACCAAACTTCCACGAAATCATAAAATTATTTTGCTGACGAGGCTTGCGAGGACCCGGTAAGCCACTACATGTACATTGTAGTATGAAAGAAATGTCTGGAAGTTCACTTCCTCAGATGAATGCGTTATGTCATAAGTCCGACAAAATCGCATTCCCCAACCAAATAAAGCCCTCATAAGTCCGACGCCTCGTAAGTCCGACGCCTCGTAAGTCCGACGCCTCGTAAGTCCGACGCCTCGTAAGTCCGACGCCTCGTAAGTTCGACGCCTCGTAAGTCCGACGCCTCGTAAGTCCGACGCCTCGTAAGTCCGACGCCTCGTAAGTCCGACGCCTCGTAAGTCCGACGCCTCGTAAGTCCGACGCCTCGTAAGTCCGACGCCTCGTAAGTCCGACGCCTCGTAAGTCCGACGCCTCGTAAGTCCGACGCCTCGTAAGTCCGACGCCTCGTAAGTCCGACGCCTCGTAAGTCCGACGCCTCGTAAGTCCGACGCCTCGTAAGTCCGACGCCTCGTAAGTCCGACGCCTCGAACGCTTCGTTTTTCCGACGTCGGACTTATGAAGCTTCGGACTTATGAGGCGTCGGATCTATGAGGCGGAATAAATAAATTGTTTGTCTCATAAGTCCGACGCCTCATAAGTCCGAAATTTCGGACTTATGAGGCGTCGGACCTATGTTACGGCCCCGACAATTCCTACATTCTTGGGTGGGAGAAACAATAGGCGCATTATTATAGTCGAGTAGTACGGGTGCGCCATCAGATTTATGTGCAATTACATAGACATCATGATGTACAAGTTATATTCAAATATTAACCATAGTTGCATTTTAATTTAAACTTTGACCAAAGAAATCGAAAATCCAGCTCGGGTCCATTTCTGTGTTCAACTTTATAAATACAGAGATATTAAACAGCGTTCTCTTTTGTCTTGAACTTTTAAGGGTGGCGTAAAAGGACAGCTGTGATAACATATTCCTAGGCCTACCTGCTGGACTCGAAACATTGGTGAAGGTGACACACCCACGAAGACTAAAAAGCGGGGTTGTAAGGATTAGGCCTTACGGCGGGATACATTAATTTTTTGTAATTAACCGTTAATTAAATTGTTAGTACAAAGATTAAATTTATAGTACACAGATTCATGAAGGACGCACCAACGTTATGCGCCACGGCCGGTCGAAAGTTGCCACGCACCCGTCCCCCCCCCCCCCCCCCCCCGACAAATCCTGAGAGTGGCAACATTAACATCGGTTGTTCGTTTTGGGCTGAGTTGCGTTCAGAAATTAACAAGACAAAGGGGCATTAGATTTTGTCCTTTTTCTCTTGACTGCAAATGACACGTCATATGGTTAAGTATTACAGTGCATGTTTCCTACAATTCCAGCTACATGTGTATACAGGGCGAGTCAAAAAAGCGGAACCCAAACCCAAAAAATTATATTTCATACTATACTGAAATTCATTCATTGAATATCATATAATACTAAAATTGATCAATCCGTTCAAAAATATCTCCATTTAAACACAATGACCCTAAAACCTGTCTCATCCAAAAAAAAATGCGATTTCAAGGATCGTCATCACAATTGTCTTCAAACATCACCAGCGATAAAACCTCAGTTCAGACGTTAAAAATATTCAACAAAGTCCTTTTGAAGGCCCGCCTTTAAAAAAAAATAGATTTTATAAATCATATTTTTGCCTAAACAGGGTTGTTAAACATATTGTGTACTGCAGTTGGTGACAGTTGTTGAAACAAGTATTCTGTGTCATTTCCTTTGTTGTTCCAAACAGTCAAAACACACAATAAATAGCTTTTTTTGGACAAGACAGGTTTTAGGGTCATTGTGTTTAAATGGTGATATTCTTTGAACGGATTGAGCAATTTCAATAATTTGTTCATCTAAACGTAGCTTATGAAATTGGCTTTCCAGCCATTATTATATTTGGTGCTATTATATTTCTAAATATGAAATATATTTTGGGGGGTTTGGGTTCCGCTTTTTTTTACTCACCCTGTACAATCTGTCCATTATGCCTCTGTATACACTGTTTCTTCTTTCAAGGCACCACGGCCAATTAAGTTAATCTTTGATGACGATGGCTCCGCCTCAATCACACTTCACCTTGATACCGAAGTAGGATCGTTAATGGTTATTGACCTGTTGGCTAAGAATAGCAACTCTTGTTCATGTCAACGCGTTCTTGAGCAGTTGCTCCTAAAAGGGGGTTATATCGCGCATAGACATAATCAGAGCCGTACAAGTATGCATAGCTATAAGAGTTGCAAAACTATGGATACCGATTTCGGATGGAAATTTTGGTCCTAGGATGGGGGGGATTCTTTCATGTAAAAGTTGGTGTGTGTGTTTTTAAGAAAATCAATTTCTCAAAACAATTTCAAAGCTTCGCCGTCGTATGCGTGTGTGTTGATCGTCACTTTGAAAAAAAAAAGCTAAAGTAAAACTTGTAGTTAAGCCTACGCTCAGTTTCGCTATTTTTATTTGAAATCTTGACAGAATCGTATATTATGTTCCTTCAACTGAAATGTTGGTCCAATTTCTGAAGATACAGGTTTTCTAGTATACACAATAATAATAATCAAAATTTCCCGAACTTAGCTAGGGTTGGAAACCTTACCCGCTCCTCTACATGCATGTGGTTAATTACCCCCATCTTTACCCATGTGTTTGTCATTATCATTGACTGCCTATGATTTCATCAACGCACATAGCAATGAAAACAAGTGCGTTTGATGAGGAGGTCCCTTGTAATATAACGGAGTAGATGTGCGATGGTTCTGTTTTGTTTTCCTTTTTCCCAGGCTCCTGTGGTCTGTGCTTGAAGCACGCCCATTATTGGAACGAATCATCTACCGTCTCTCAATCACCATCGTCACACCAAGGCCCCTCGTCACAAGCCTGTCTCTTCGTAATTTGTGTCTTTATTGCAACTCTTAAGGGCGTCACTCTATAGCAGTCAAACATTATGCGGTAGACGGTCATACGTCGTGTATGCGAAGTCATTTTACTCCAAAAGTACACCAGCGGAAGCTATTTTATTTGGAGACTTTGCCTCACCGAAAACCGTTTCAGAAACTTTGTCGGAACTGTTGCCATACCGTACATTTCCGGCTTGTTTCCCATGAATATGGGTGAGTTGTTTCAGTCTTTTCTATGACATTCAATTAGCGTGTAGAGATAGCCGAAGTTCGTACGTCTTAACAACTGAAGTAAAAGTGTGCATATACTGTCTTATTATATTTTTCAAAGAGAGAAAAATCCGACTGAAATTATGGGGACGAGGCATTTAAAGTGAAATTTGATCAATTGAGTTTCCTCTCCATGACATGGCCCTTTCAAACTCTGAATCATCAGGACATCTTAAGTCTGGTGACAATATGAAATTTCACTGTTTGGAAATATTTTCAGACGCGGATTCAGAGGGGGGGGGGGGTTGGCGCGGCGGTCGAATAAAGCCCGGCTCTTACATAAAAAAAACATAATAATAACAATTATTATGGTAATAACATATCCGTCTGTCCGCGACAATCGGGCATAAAGAACATCTGACGGGCTGATCACCCCCCCCCCCGCAAAAATTCCCGGATCCGCCCCTGAGAAGAGAGTAAAACGTTTGTAAGACAAACTTGGTTTGCCTGATTTTGTTTAGGCTGTGTATGTGATGCCTGCAAATTTTGTTGAGAATCTGAATCCCCTGGGTAAATTTAACCGCTTTTGACAGCTTGTTCATTGGTCTCTTTCGGGGGTTGTTTATAGTCTCTTTTTCGAATCATGAACTTTACTGGAAATGCTTATTTACAATCATCACTTGACATGTTCATTCCGATTGGTTACAGGTTGGTTTCTCCATCCATTATTTCATGCAATTTGCGCCACCTGCTTCATCGGTGAGTACAATGAAATACTTCAGTGTGTTCATTTGATTTACATGAACAACATTTTCAGACGGGGGTTTCAAAGGTGCGCCAATAGTCCGAAGATTTCGATTCAGAATTATAAATGTTCGATGCAAGGGCGTAAGTCCCGGGGGATAGGGAGTGTATATTCTCCCTATCCCCTGGGACTTACGCCCTTGCATATATGGTGGTATATATACCGCCCCCTCTCATTTTTGATAGGGGGAAATTGGATCATCCTTCATCCCCCAAATTTTGTGGTGAGAAACACATAATGCCGAATTTAACCCTAAAAGGACCGGGTTACTTTGACCATCTCACTGCTGGGTGGGGGGGGGGGGGGATTCCGCCCCCCCCCCCCCCCCCCCCCCCCCCCCCAACGATCTCGGGCATCGAGTTACGAAAAATTATGAAACTCGGTAGGCCTACATGCATAGAACCACTTAACATGAACATACCCACGAAATTTCATAGTTCAGAGGGTTTTAGAATTATGGCGAATTAATTTTTCATATTCACTAATGGTAAATCTGCTTTGTGTACACTAGTGTTTCGTTTATATTTTCATGTAAGATTTTTTTTATGATTTAATTCTTAAACTTAACTTCTTAATCTGCACCTTTGTCCACTGTCTTTTTTATGTACACATTTTTATTGTTTTGTTGTAAACCCGTTCATGTCTCATGTCTCTTTTATTTAATGATTACAAAATGTATTTGGTATAATTTGATATGATCTTATTTCCTATTATGTCTTATCTGCTTTGATATTTTTTTTACACTTTTAATCTTTTTAATTGTTAGTTTTTGTTTTATTAATTTATAATTATATGCTCAGGGCCCCGTGGAAGACCATATCATTATGTGAACGGGCGCGCTACCCTGATAAAAGATCAGAAATAAATAAATAAATAAATAAATATATGGGGACATTCAGTTTTCACGGCAAGTATCGTACCGGAATTTTATGTTTTTCGTATCAAAAGATGCGCAAGACTCGAGGCTACAATGTCAGGATAGCTCGGGTCACGAATAATTTTTTCAAGGGTATCGCGGAAAAAGTTTGTAACTGTCAAAGTGTGCAAGCTTTTTTTCCGAATAGTCGCGACCAGACAACATTAGGATTTTTGTCATCCCCCATCCCCCCCCCCCCCCCCCCCCACTCGCCGGCATGGATTTACGCCACTGGTTCGCTGTTTGAAACGGTCAGAAGGATCATATTACTGATGGACCCTTGCAGTTGTTCCAAAGTCTGGTAAATGGAAAGGCGTGGTGACCATGAGTTGCCCTATACAGTTTGGTTCGACGTTGTTCTAATTTTAAGCGTTTTATTACATGTATATGCCTGCAACTAATAAATGACATTATATTACGTTTCCGGTGTTTCTCTTCGCGACATAATAAAACAAATTTTGGAGAAAGGAAAAAATAAAAAAATCATCATGACTATGTTGATATTTTACAATATTTTGATTTGATTAATTCTAAAAGAGCCGAGATTTAATTTGTACTTTCTTACGGCCAGGGCAGGGCGGATCCCCTCAATTCCTGACCAATTTGTTAAGGAAATTATGTATTGGGGTACATTCATGCTATAGGACACAGACAAAGGTTGAGCTTAACCCTAAAAGTGCCGGGTTATTTTGACCATCTATCAGATTCCGCCCCCCCCCCCCTAAGATCTCGGCCATCGAGGGACGAAACATTGTGAAACTTTGTACATTAATTATTTATATGTACGAATGGTAATTCTGCTCTGTGTACACGACGTTTATGGGAAAATTCAGTTTTCACGGCGCGTAGCGCCGGATTTTTAAAAAATATTTTTTGTATCAAAAGATGCGCAAGGCTCGAGGCTAAAATATCATAACAGCTCGAGTCGCGAAAAAAGTCTATCGCGGAAAAAGGCTATCGCGGAAAAAGTCCAAGGGGGGGGGCGGGGTGGATTCCGCTCCCCGGTCCTTTTAGGGTTAAAAGGAAAATACGTTTTTATCTTAATGATCAATATTCTACGCTTTCGTGCACGAGTGTACAAGTATTATTACATTCACTGTGTGGACTTCCGAACAAAAGATGTCCACATAAACAAGATAGCAGCGACGTTGTGTGGACTTGCTCAGTGCGTCCCCCTCTCTGGAAAACAGGTTTAGAGGCATTTTGTGGTTAGGTTATCTGCGGCAAAATGAAGAGAAATACTAAATGGAATCATAGCAAACAATTTGGGTTGAAAACGTTTGCACAGTGGGAGTAAACTATGAGGGGGTTTTCACAGGTTTTTCTTAATTACACGAAAACAAAAGAATGTCCACACTAGGTATGTAACGTAAACATATACGTGTGAATGAGTGGATTTCCTCAACTTTTTTTCAATGGAAAACAAAATCACTTTTCGGTACCGTGAAATTATGAACTTGATTCCAAAACATCCGTGAGATATCAGTCTATTAGAAAATATAAAGGTTTGACTCGAAAACAAAATGCGCCGCGAAGATATCGGAACACAATGAACGCCGGGATTCCACTCCAATCCTTTTATAGGGTTGTTTATATTTTATACGAAGTTAAGGAGAACACACCGCGAGAAGGTGTGCATTCGTAATTTAATAATGCTGAGTGAATTCGTAAATAAAGAATCCACGTTTGCACGTGTATTCTCTGATCAAACCACGTCCAAAGAAGTATTGTCACTATATTTGAGTTGAGTCTAGATGAAAAGGCACGCATTCGAGGCATGTTGTAATTTACATATTGTCTGTGAGGATATCTTACGTAATCCAGCTCGCAAGTAATGCTAAGAAAACAAAAACAAGTAGAATCGTAATTGTTTAAGTTCAGACGATATGGAAAGCCATAAATTCACTTTTGCTCATGAGGAAATGTACCGTCCGGTGTGTTGCCATGAGGAGTGGACGGTGTTTTGTGTATCTCCGCGGCCCTGGCCCCTTGATGAGAAACATTGATAGTTCAGACGATCAGTTTTTAGTGCAGAGTAAGTTCTGGCGGTAATCAGGCGCGGATCCAGGATTTGGGATATCAATTCATTATGTATCCGAGACGTCGGAGAATTGTATTGCATAAGAAGCTTAGTAAGGCACATTTCCCCCTCAAACTATATATACAACTTTTCACTATCAGATTATCCCGATATGAGATCATTATATGGAGGTGAAAAAAACGTGTCAACATTTCAGCATTGGTGATACCTCCCCCCAGTTTGAAAACCGTTCCGCCGCTACTGTAATTAAAAAGTACGTCTATGTTTCTCACTAACTCGTGACGCCTTTTAAAGTACAGAGTATTACCTGTAGGTTGGTTATTTTTAACAAATATATGATGCCCTGGGAAAGTGGGCTGTTTTCACCAAAAAAAAAAAAAAAGTGGAATTAAGGCCGAAAAAAAAGTCTCTGGTTTCTGGTATGCGCGCTCGTCGCCGTAGCCATGCGCGTCGGCAAAATGAAAAAGCTTTTTTTTTTCAATAAAAAAAGATGTCTCAAAACCGCCAAACTCACTGGTTTGACTGGAATCCTGCTGCTGCACAATTTTAACGTGTTTTTAGATGGGGTTATGATCTAGAATAAGTTTTATGTGGCCTCTCCGGACTCCCATATATTTGCACTAAGTTTAGTCGGGCACCATTTGCAGTCATCAGCCGACATTTGAAGCAAAAAAGACAGGTAAAAAAAAAAAAAAAAGCCGCGTCGCCGCACCACTTTTTGGGCAAGCTCCATACCAGAAACCGGAGACTTTTTTTTTGTTGGCCTAACCTCAAAATCGGCCAAGTCAATGGTGGCCAACATGAATTGTCTCACTCAATTGAACGGCACAGTCGTTCTCTTTGTCCCACAGATTCAACATCGCACTTCTGAATAAACTACATAAAATTTCCGTCCCACTCATATAAGAATCATTTTGATTGGACGAGGGAAAAGGGCTTTTTTGCTTCCAATCATGGAACGTTTCTCTTCTAAGACCAAGGCTGCCAGACTTTTCTTTTGTGACTCCCGGCACCGTCATGTTCTGGATGAAGGAGAGGAAAGGCCTGTTGAACAGTTGACATTTACAAGGCACCCTACAACTCATCCGAAGGGAATTTCACTGTCATTTCCGATTTGAACGTGGAATTGGAAACAAGTTTGATTTTCAGCAGTTTTCAGATTCTTGATTTGTATTTTGTTGTTCTGTGCATTGTTTTAAAGCAGTTATTGGCGTCATGTACTCAGAAATGTGCACGGTCATGACTGTCATGACACTTACAGTGTAGGTGTCACTTTCAAATTCTCTCTTTGTTCTCTTGCGGTTTGAACTGTTGTAGTAGTGTTCATTCGATTTAAACGTACGCAGGACGAGCATTTACGTCTCAGCCAATGAAAAGCTTTGCTTGCCACGCTTCACCCACAGTTACCGCCCACCGTGACCGTCTACTGCCTTTTATTATTCAAATTGTTCGCTGCTTGTATTAATCATGATAACAATGCAAGAGGATTCCAACTCGATCGTTGAGCGGTACAAAATCTAAATAACAAAAGAGGATCTCTTACAATTAAGCTGTCTGGCACAATGCCTGCTGAATCTCTCTATCAAGCAATTTTGCAAGTTCATGTACATTGTACATGATGTGTTTTGAAAAAAAATGTAGTCGGTAAAGCAAACAGAATACGCACGTAATTAGTTTAGTAGTGCAGGTATATGAATTCAAACTGCAGGGAGTCCTCTCAGCATTTAAAGGGAATGTACATCATTGGCTTTTGCTGTAATTTTCAGAAATGGAGTATTTGAGGGGTTAGTATAATATATCAAATATTGTTACACTGACATGTTTGAAGTTTTATGTTCGAAAATGCTGGAAAAACCAAGAAAAACAAAATTGTTCAAGTAGTCTGGTTCCCTGACTCCACTAAAGATGAAATGGATCAATTTATAGTTTCCAGAAAATTGTAAGGTAAGGGAACCAGTCTAGCTGGCCTGCACCCGTTCATGAACATGTAACCAATACCAAACAAAATTTGGACTGAAAAAAGGTAAATTTGGAGCAGTAGTTGAAATATAGTTAGGTTTTTCCAACGGTGGTCGGCCGACCACTGTTGGAAATGTATACAAAAATACCATTTTCTTGAAAATGACTTCACACCAGGTGCCATAATTTTACAGGATGCTTTAGACTGTCATTTACCAACATCCACGGTATTTCTGAAAAAGTTGGTAGTTATATTTTTCGATGTTTGCAAATGTTGTATATTCCCTTTAAGCCCTGTACATATACTGCCTTTTCACGGTCAACCATGTTCCTTTCTGTATGTTATTAATTTCTGTTATTGATAAGTGTACCCCCCTGTTGATTTTTTTCTCGACGAATATCTGGCTTTTCTTTGGATTTATTTCAACACTCTATTTATGGGTTTTCTCGATCTGCACGGGCATATTTTGTTTGCCTGCACCTTTGCCAAGATTGCCCTACAATAGAATCTATTCTGAAGGCTTACGTAGGGTACAGCATACAGTCAGTATTCAGATTAACAATACACTTGGAACGTAAGGAAAGAATAAAGCTAAGGCCGGGTACGAGCGCTACAATAGACACTATGTAGGATTAAAAAGGCTTATATGTAGGGAACATTCAGTATTCAGATTAACAATACACTTGGAACGCAAGGAAAGAATAAGGCTAAGGCAGGGTACGAGTGCTACAATAGACACTATTATAAGGGCTTACGTAGGGAACATTCAGTATTCAGATTAACAATACACTTGGAACGCAAGGAAAGAATAAGTCAAAGGCAGGGTACGAGCGCTACAATAGAAACTATGTAGGATTAAAAAGGCTTATATGTAGGGAACATTCAGTATTCAGATTAACAATACACTCGGAAAGGAAATAATAAGGCTAAGGCAGGGTACGAGTGCTACTTAGAAGAACAATAGAAACGGTACGTAGGATTATAAATGCTTACGCAGGGTACAGTCAGTATTCAGATTAACAAGACATATACATTGTATGCCTATAAAAGCTAAAGGCCACCGTCGAGTACCGTGTGAATATAGCAATGATGAGGAGAGGGCACTTGTTTTAAATGCATATCGCCAGGAGTTTATAAACAAAGAAGAGGTTTATGGAGTAAATCATACTAGTTTATAGAGTAAATCACCTTTGTTTAACGACGCTGAGAAAAAAGTTTGGCTCATTACGTTTAAAATTAACCTTAACTGAATCTCCAATAAAAAGAAATATTTGTATGTACCGCATTTTTATCATATTCTTTTCATAACTAACAACGAATAAAACTGCTGCAAACTGTTTAAAGAGTACATTGACCTGAAACTACAAATCAACAAACTTAGCTGACCCAAGTTTCGGCAAGTCCTTCCAATTTTTATTTATAATTATTTATTTATAATACATGTGATAATTGATAACAAGTCTTTTATTTTGTTAATTTCAGTTTTTATTTATCGGAGATTATACGATAGAGCTTCAAAGAAACAGAGATTTGTTTGTGTTTACTTTCATTGATAGGAAAATGGTTGACAAACTTTGTCGAAAGATTTCAACATGAGTTGGAGTTGTGCACTACAGTATCCTATACATGTATACACGTACATGTACAACATTGTCAGTGCATTTCTTCATCACATCATATGTCGCCTGTAGGTACAACACTATACAACTCCACTTTATTGTTCCCGATCCTGCCACTTAGAATGTTCTTTTGTTATGTTGATTTCGCTCAATGACTTGGAATCCTCTTGCATCGCTATCATAATTAATACAAGCAGCGAACAATTTGAATAATAAAAGTAAGGCAGTAGACGGTCATGGTGGGCGGTAACTGTGAGTGAAACGTAGCAAGCAAAGCTTTTCATTGGCTGAGACGTAAATGCCCGTCCTGCGTACGTTCAAAACGAATGAACACTATGCAGACTTTATATGCATTGTAAATGAACATGCATAGCTGGTAATTTCCACGTATCTGAAATTGAATAATTAATTGGATTGCTGCAGGTGCAGTTTTAATCATAAATCATATTGGTTTGTGTTGAATGTGTTACTATGGCCGTGCGTGTATTGTGCCTTTTAGATAATTGCTTTTCCCGCCCCCCCCCCTAATTTTGACCGTTGAGGCCCTTGCGGCTCCGATCCCCCGCCGTGGCTTCGCAAGTTGTTGCACCACGACAAAACTGTGCTTTGAAAAAAATCCTGTGGAGAATCCTGATTTTTGTTAAAACGTGTCTGAGGAAATCTTACAATTCTCTATACAAAGCATCTAGACTGGGGGCTGGACACCATTCTGACCATAGATGTATATATGAACATTTATTATGCATATATATGGATGTAACATTAATCATCATTATCCTCAGTTACGCCCATTTTTTTCATATTGTAAAAAAAAATGATAAGGATGATGGCCAACAAGCAATATAATACCTTACAGCTTTAAAAACCACTTGGTAAAAACATATGTGAAAATGTTAGTATATACGTTGGCGTAGCCTTGGTCAAGGCGCTAAATGTTATTCATCCCGGCCGTGGCGTGTAAACGATTATCCTCGCTAGGGCCATGCATAATGCAGTGCATTAAAAATACGGCGCGAACAGCGACCTCATGCGGCCACTATTTCTATGCAAATTAGTTGGACCCAATATCGCGCCTTGGTTCAATCGTCGGCAAAAGCTTATGTTTTTCTTTATTTTGCGCTGGATTTCTAGCGCACGACCTCGTATGCGAATACAGATAAGTGTAGGCGGGGCTAATAATGTGGAGTGTCCAATCACACCTTGGTAAATCCGGACGTCATCAAACTGTTTGCAGCTAGCTATTCGCCTTTAAATTTTGCGGACGTGACAGGAACCACAGTTTTTGTGCATTGGTGCCGTGTGTAGAGACACATAAAGTGTACGTGTACATGTATGGATTATGTACGGTGCCACGTTTTACTAAGCAAGTTTCCCTGCAACGATCGACCAATAAGAAAACGACATTTAAGGTCAGCTAATAAGGCTATTAACATAATGAGCACCACCCCCAAAACCTCACATGGACGATTGAACCAAGGCGCTATATTAGGTCCAACTGATTTGCATAAAAATAGTGGCCGCGTGAGGTCGCTGTTCGCGCTGTATTTTTTAATGCACTGTACTGCATGCATAGCGCATAGACATTATGACTGCATGCATTACCGCGTTACGGCCGGATAAAAAACAACTAGCGCCTTGACCAAGGCTAATGTTGGCGTAAAATATGTAGGGGGATAAATTAGTATTATTATTATATTTTTTGGGGGGGAGGGACGTCACCATGCATTGGCGTCCCCGCCCAAATATTATTGGAGTAGCATGCCCCCCCCCACCTCTCTCACCCGTCCCCCTACCGCTCCTCCATCCCACCGTTCCCCCGTCCCCCACCCCTTCCCCCGTCCCCCTACCCCATCCACCGTTCCCCGTCCCCCACCCCATCCCCGTCCCCCAAGTCCCCTACCCCCATCCCACCGTTCCCCCGTCCCCCACCCCCTTCCCCCGTCCCCCTACCCCATCCCACCGTTCCCCCGTCCCGCCCATCATCCCCCATCCCCCAAGTCCCCAACCCCCATCCCAACGTGCCCCCGTCCCCTATCCCCCATACCCCGTCCTCTACCCCCCATCCCACCGTTCCCCCGTCCCCATCCCCCGTCCCTTCCCCCCCCCTCCCCCCTCATCCCCTCGTCCCCCGTTCTCCCCTCCATTCAAGCTGATCAAAAATCAGCGGAGAATTACTCACAAGCAATAGGCCTGTATTGCCTGACATGTGCTTATATTTAATTGTATAGAAATAACACGTTTAACCTGTAAACCAAAGCTCCACCATACTGGCCCCAGACACTTTGTTGTGCTTCCCTGTTGCTCTGTAATGTACTTCTGGGGTAGTCGTCCTCCAACCCCTGTAGGAGACCTCTAGGATATCAAGTTATGCCAGCATGTTATGGGGGCGGACCTCTTTTAACGCTAGAGGGTGTTCTTTTTATTATTTATTCACATTTCATAAAGCCGTGCGGTTCAGGAAAGTCAAAAATAGTCATCTAGCTTCCGCTTCGCTTTAATAAATCAAACAAATACTTCTAAAAAGGCACTTCCTTGGCCAGCGGGGGGGGGGGGGCACCTAGGGGCACTGGGAATTTGGCCCGTGGGCACGTCCCCTCCCCCATGCAACTAGCCCCCCCCCCCCCATTGGCCCGTTTGAAGAATTTTTTTCTTTCATTTTCAATTAATACAAAAGACATTTTCTTAATCACAAGTCAGCCGTATATCATTTACTTGCCTGTCTGTTGCAGGTATGGTGGTAGCACAGTCAGATTTAGGTGATCTTGGAGATTTGGGAGATCTTGGGGATATCTTAGATGATTTGGATCTGGGTGACATTGTTATCATTGGTACGGAGATGCCCGACCAACCCATGGAGCAAGGTAAAAATTAAGCAACAAAACTGATACCTGTGAGAAGGCATGAAGAAATTGATGTCCCAACCACATCTAAAATGGCTACAACGGTGTCCCCGCCGGCCCTGAGTGGTTATACGTTCTTCTTATCAGTCTTCTTTTTATACCAATAGAAAATGTTGGCATTGGTTAGCAAGCACGCCTAAATCCTGTCAGAGTATGCGGTAATTGAGTTTAAAGCACTTTTGATTTAAAATGCAATTTAGCCATACTTTTGTTGACACATAATTTGACATTTAAAAGTGAACGTACATACAACCAAAATGAGACCCAAGAAAGTGGTCGTCCTTATATTCCATCCATACAAGAACGTATGCTCAACATTTTCACAGAATTAAGTTATATTTTTATTTCTTCGATTACACAAAAGATACATAACATCAAGTGAAAGAAAATTCAGTTGAACCCATTAATTGATTGTGGATAGATTGCAAGTGGATGTGAGATGGTCATGTGATCGTAATGGCAGTATAAACAATCAAAGTGCTGTAAAATATTGGAGTCATTTTGTATGTTATAGTAACTGTTGATGTGCTGATGGATCACACATCATCACAGGTCCATCACATGTCAATCAACATCCAATCCGGTCAAACCTATTCAAATGATCTGTGACAAAGGCATGCCTTTGTTATTCTGCGTCTCCGTTGATGCTTGTGATTGGACTTGTGATCTGACTTATGACGTAGTTGAGACCTGATTTGTGAATGTATATAATCCATGACAAGTAGGCTTACCCGACTCAAACACCTGCTATTTTTGTTTTGTTTATTACTATTTTGTTTTGATCACAGATCAAACTCTGACTTGCTATGAGTGCGGTGAGGTCAGTGAACTCAGCAGAACTGACCAGTCACGGTCTTGTGCCATGCCTTCTAAGGCCACAGTCAATGGGACCGTCTGCGGGGCACCAACCTATCGCCATACCAATCGTTGCGGCTGGATGGAGGTTACTGTCTCAACTCCCAGAACACATGGTAAGACTGCGTCCTGCGGCTTGAAATGAGCCTAAGGAAGCAGCTCAAGCCTTCCCAATACACGTCTGTACAGTGTGTTACTTGCAACATTAACCGTTCGCATCCAAGTCATTTGTCAGACACCCGAGCCCCTGACTGTAACATTTATTCATATTTTGAAATATTATAACTACATTTGAAAATGTGTTAATTGTTGTGGAACTTTACCTGATTTATTTTTAAAAGATGGCTTTTTTTAAATCAATTGATCGATTTTCCAGTATCATGAAAAGCAACGTAAAAGTGACGTAAAAAGTAATTATAAACTAGGTGAAGAAATATTGCGGAGAAAATGCATAAACATAACAAAAATAAATACTAAAGTTGAGTTTTTTTCCTGACTATACTAGAATCCGAGTTGCTGAATTGAAACACAATCAAACTTCTTTATTCATAATCCTACAACTTGTTTTTTTTTCTCAGATGAAATGTTGGAGTTGTACTGGATCTTCAGAGGGTGTGTTTCTGTCCCTGATTCGTCGGGTATCGGTGATGATTGCTTCTCTGATGCTGACCTAGTGGGAACGCTGGACAAACTGGGCATGTCACTCTCAGAAGTACGTCATCATTCAAACTGACCAATAGGAAGTCTCAAGTATCATGACATCAGTCTCATGGCTTATAACTGCAACTTTTCAACAACGCTGCTAAGTATAAAAGACTTCATTAAAACTTACTCTAAATTCTTTCTGTGGTTCACTTAAAGCCAATTGGAGTTGGAGATAACTTATTACCAGGAACACCGCATAATGATCTCGATACCCCTGGATTATATCTGTGCATTTGAAACAAAAAGTAAATGTACATAGTTCAAGTTCTTGCCTGTCCGTGCGAAATCATTGATCAATATAGAACGCTTGATTACAACACAAATGTATTGCCTTCTTTTTCACTAATTGTCCAGTGTCGCCCAGACGTCTAACTATTTTGTTTGTTTGTTTTTTGGTTACTTTTTTCCAGATTGTGGGGAGCAGCAGCAACAGTACCATCACCGGCAAGGGTTGCTTCTGCAACAAAGACTACTGTAACGGAGCATCGCGCGTCAGATTCCTGACTCTTAGCGCAGTGTTGGCTATGGCAGCGTTGGCGTTCGCCATACTTGATTAATGTCGCCATGACACAACTGTAGCCTTTATTCGAGTCTGACGTGTCGGTATACAGCATCTGATATTTGGCTAATGAACACAGAACCGGGATTTGTTTCTAACATTTCTGTTTACCGTGCATTTGAGGCAGCCGGTAAATTTATGTAACATACATTTTATGTTTTGCACGTTTTCATAGATGCATAAATAGTGAAATACGCTCATTTGGTTATACCGACCAATGAACGACTTGAATAAAGTCTGCCAGACAAACATAAATCGCTTATTTCAAACCTTGTCAGAAGACATGATATACACATAACGTGGTAATCATAGTTATAACGAGGTTAAACAATATGCCTCGGAGGACATTGATGCACACATCAAGAAGGCACGACAGTTCTAACATTTCTGAAATTTAGCTGATAATGAAAATGATTTTTTTTTGCAGGCATATTGCGCTATGTAAATGCTGTTTTTATTATATTATTTCGTTTGATTCTCACTGCTACCAAAATTCAGCACATATTCTTCATGCTTTAACCACTGAGAAAGGAAACATTCAAATTTGAATTATTTGAAATGAAATGGCTCGTTCTGTTTAGATTGAAATTGAAAGATCACGCAGCTCGTCATTCAACAATCAACAAGAATCATTCAATTTAACTATCCGAGAATTCTATCGTCTTGTAGCTTCACTCGTCCCTGTAAAAGATGCATTCAAATTAAAAGTATCGTGTTCATTCAATTTCGTCTGAACCAGCAGTAACGCGTTGATCGGGCATTCGTTTTCATTGATGTTCAAACGTATTTCACATTTGTTCAAGCATCTTTTAAGACATTTTTGCAAGCGTCCGTAATAAACCAACTTCTGATAGGGGGCACTGTTATAAGAGCAAACAATCATGGACATTTTTGCTCTTCATCACGATCGCACGATTTTTTCCGACAAGCCGATTACGTTTTAAAAAGTCTAGCCCGTGGCAATCTGCCATGCACTCCTGCACTCCCTGTCCCCCTGGTTACGCCACTTTGTCTTGCATGTCAAAAGATCGATGGGTGAATCAGCGATAAATAAAAGGGGGGAAATACTTACAAAACAGAACGAAAAAAGAACAGTAAACAAAGTTAAAGGATTTGTTCAAACTTTTAAACACTAACAAGATCAACAGTGAAAAAGAAAATCCCTTGACCTTAGCCCTTTTCATATCATTAAAATTTGTCACATTATAATTTTACAGACACAAAGATTTTGAACAATATGAACCTTTATAGAAGAAAATAGGAAAAATATCAATTAAGAAATCTTATTAATTTGAATGACCAAATGATGAAAATGACTGCTCATAAACGAATAAGAAAAGAAAAGCGTGATCACACGTCATTATGCCCAGCGACGTTCGCTTATTTGAATGCGTCAACCGTCAAAAGATGTCCAAAACGTAATGTAAGAATGCTACAAATTAAGTCTTTGAATGCGAAAACGAAATAGAATGCCCCAAAACGAAAATAAACATTGGGAACAAAATCTTGGGTGCCTAAAAATTGAAATTGAATGCCCCAACAATGAAAAAGAAACCCCAAGTTGATCAGATGTGTAAAATCACGCGAAATTGAATGGCCGATAATGACAATGATAAGAACATTCGGAAATTGGCCGGGAAAACCTTAGTCTCTCTAAGTCCAAATCTTTGGCCTCATCTTTTCTATCAGTCAAGTTAAATTGCTTTCCGTTGTTGTTAAACATGATTATAATTCCCCTAAATAGGGTGCTAACGCGGGTTGCGGTGTAAATAGCGACTGGGCGGACAATACGCCCCCAATATTTTGTCGATTCAAAGATCACCCCCCCCCACTTTGCTCCTGACTTGCTCCGCCCCTCCTCTCTATCTCTGGTCCAGCCTTTCACCGTCCGTAGTTGATGGCTCTGCAATTTTCTCCTCTACCTATTTTCTAGTCATCCAAATTCAGCGAAGGGAAGTATCGATTGGTTCGTTGGCCTACAAACACTAGACTTAATGAAGGTGGACAATTGCGACTAATTATAGACAGAGATGGTGGTACAACTACTGGTTGCCTTGGGTGATAAACGTGCAATTTTGTGTGAGATTGCGTGCATATTATGTAAAATTGCCAAACTTCAATTTTGAAGGCACGCATATGGTGGTCAAAGTTTTTTGAGACTTTTAATGTCCTGCATTTTAAAAACTTTCTGAGGAATTTTAAATATCGTTCAGTTTATTTGGAAATTATTTGTAATGTGTTAATAAAGTAAATTTTTGTCGAGTAATAGAATACACCAAATTTCAGGCACAGTTTTCTTAACATTCTAAATTCAACTTAATTGATCATGACCAATCAGCAATGTTGCACTCATTATTAATCGTCTGTACTTCATGCACTTATATATATTACTTTTTACTTAAAATTAGTTTTCATTTTAAAGTACAAATCGATATTTTTTCCGTTACTGTTATTACTATATTAATTAAACCGTTTATAACAGTCATCCACTACAACAATACAATCTTAGTTTTGAACGTGGAATACCAAATTGTCAATTATTAGTTCATCTCTGACATGAACATAATTTTATATTGAACAAGCAAATTTCTTTAACATCCCTCGCTAAAAAAAAAAGCAGCACTAGTATTTTTACAGTGAGGGTGTTTCAAATGTTATTCACCTGATGACAGCGTTGCTAAACATGTACATGTCGTTGCTTTACTAGGCGGATAATTTGAATTATTTTCTTCGAAACAAAGAGGTTTATAGGTTCCCTCAAAACAGGCTACTGGTTACAACAAAATTAATACCTTCTTTTAGATTATGTAGATTGAGAAATGGTCCAACATGCAACGCAAATTGTCATCATTAATGAACAAGCTGTACAATATAATGCGATCTTCATTTGCTTTAAGCTTCGGCCAAATTATTTTGAGAACCGTTCGACAAAGAAAAACATAGTAAAGCTCCTGTTCATAATTTGCATATGGGTCATTCCTTGAACAAGGGTACCAAAGCGTGACATTGTTTTATGTTTGGATGCAAAATATTTTCTTCTTACATGACGAAGAACATGGTTTCACGTGTAAACATGGACACCGTTCCTGTTACACGTGAAATTGGTGACTTTTTGTGCCACATTTCTGTTTGTTTTCATCGAAAATATCTAAAATTCATATATGATATAAAGCAGTGAAGATACTCGTGTCTGTTATGAACATTTGGATTTTCAATGGCAGGCATAAGAAATATAGCGCAAATAAATTTCTAGTTTCATGTGGGGAAACCATGGTGTCCCCCCCCCCCCAAAAAAAAATGTCCGTTACAGTGTGAAACAAAAATCTTGTTTTTTGGCCATATATCTGTTAGCTTTCTTCGAAAATTCTTTGAATTCCATAAGCTAATAAATGACACCTATTATTCTTTAATATTCAGACATGTTTAGATGGATATATTGCACAAAACAGTGATTATTTCCTTATTAAGAGCTTGGTTTCCCCATTACACTTGAAACCAGTAACTTGTATGCACCATATAATCTTAAGTAATTCATTCAAATGTCTCAATTTCTTTTAGTATGTAGTCATACCAATTAGTTTATGAATTAAAGGAATTTCAAACTTTTTTATTGTAATCATGCAGGATATTTATGACCAAAAACGACAGTGAATTCACGTGTAATGGGGATACGAAATTTGGTGTTCCCGTTACACGTGAAGAATGTTTTTCATCATATATGAAAAAGATAAATTTGATTTTTACGATTCGTGTTTTGAGTGACAAGGACAAACCATTACCACATACTGAAACTGCAAAGATTGCAGAAAATACTTTATGTACAAAGTTATGCATATAAAATTGGTAGTAGCCTTATTTATGAAAATACCCATATTATGCATAATATCTCTATTAATAAAATAACTTGGCTTAATTGTTAAAAGTCACTAATTCATTCATAGTACATGATTCTTTCTTATCTTCTTTTTAGTGCTTTTGTTGACGGACAAAAAGTCACCCCCGATAAGAATTGCATGCTTCAGTGTCCCCCCCCCCCCCGCCACACGCACCCTATATTTCAATATATTTCAATCCCACTTAACGTACTGTGCTACATTCCGAGATGTTAAAACTGGAGAGGACACTCCAGTTTAACGTCCAGTTCTTTTTCATGAAGTTGGAGAGAATGATTTGTTTTTCATTCTTTGAAAATATAATTACGTGATAAGATCGTAATATTTCAGGTAATTGTATGTTTTTACTTATACATATTTGTTGTTTAGGGCTCCTAATTTGAATTGAGATGTCTTAGCCTCTTTTTGATGGTTGGTGGGTAATCATCAAGTGATGCAAAAGAGTACTTAAATCGTCGTTCATAGAAAAAAATGTGTCATGTTGTTAAACATATTGTTAAATACCTGAGGTTGCTACGCAACAACTTTTGTTTACTTTTTGAGAACATACGTTTTCCATCAAACACTGAATTTTGTTTAAAAATATTGTTTTTATGAAAACGACAAAAGCATGTCTGCCAAATAAGTTGCTAATAATTACACAAAAACGCACGAAATTGCACGATTGTAAACAAATAAAGCATTATTGCACAAACAAAAAGGCGTTCTCAATCAAGTGGCAAGTTATTTCATTCACGGACTTGATTTATATTGTATTTTATTATATTTGTTTATTTGTTTTTTAATTATTGTTCATCAAATAACAATAATATGTCTGTCAGAGCAGAAAGTTGCTGACAATAACACAAAAATTGAACGAAACGACACCTAACCTAAGGCTTGACTGACTGAAAACAGACAAACAAAGTGTTCTTGCACAAACCTCGTCCTTTTTTGAGAACTCAAGCATATAACTCCAGTGCGTGTTGATGTCGATGTCGAGTCTCTGCCGTGGCGGTTCATTATCTATATCGATTTTTTTTTTCAAGTTCATCATTGTCGACGTCGAGGACGAATTGTGCAATGTGTTGCAATATTTCTCGACAATTCCCAATAATTAGGCCTTGGGACAATTTGTTAACAGATGCCACGTACGCGGGCTGTGCGAGTTCGTATAATAATATTGCAAGATATTGCAATGAAAGAAAAAAACAGCAATTTCTATATTGGCCTTTTATGGGGGTTTCTTCGTATTATGTAAGCACGCATTTCAGTGTGTTTTTTCTTGTTAGATAAACACGTTGCTACAGAAGACAGCTCTTGACAGCCGCTGTTCGTTTGTGTGTGTGGTTTTTTTTTACATTTATAGGCCTATTTAAATCAGTTTCATAATTTTAATACTGTATTGTTTTCTGAAGATTTAAAACAATATATACAATAAGTTGTTACACCTTCAAACTCGGATATCAGATAATATGAATCACAATGGCATGTTACAATTATTCGTCCAAT